AAGTAATGACATGCCAAATATTAATGATATTTTAATAATGCCATGAAATTTATAGCTGCCTCTTTGGAACCCAAAGCACAGCTGAAAGCCTGTCTGATCCATGAATGCCTCCCAGTGAGTCCTTCCTGAGCAACTAGATTTGAGGACAGAGAGTTAACCTTGTTTCCTCGTTCACCTCAGCACTCCAAATGGTGTAAGTAATTTAGCATCTTCTCTTTTAAAAAGCATATGAAAAGGAGAGAGGGGCCAAATTTTGAGGTAACATGTTTACAATTTTTATTGAGTTTTTATTTTCCTTACTTCTTAATACATTTCCATTACATTATTTACACTTATTTCAGTTAGGTGCGGATATTCATAAAAATTTTGTACAGGCATTTATAGATCCTATTATTAGTACTTACACTTATTTTTATTTGGTGTAAGTACACCTAAGACACTTTGTAACCAGCATTCCTATATATTAATAATTTCTTTTGTTTCTGTTTATCCCTGTGTGTTTCTTGGGCACACTGCATGTCACATTTCTTATCTCAGCCCAGCTCATAAAGCAGTTCTTCTTTAGCAGCTGACATGCCTTTGATGTTGATTGAGATTATTGACATAGTTGGTCCTGAAAAAAATCCATTTTTGTTTGTTTGGTTGCATGCTGCAAGTCACTTCTGGTGTGAGAGAATCAGTCTTCTACAAAGATGTTGCCCAGGGGATGCCTGGATGTGTTACGATCATGTGAGGAGGTTCCTCTCGTACTTGCTCCATCAATGTTTAACTTTTACACAAATGATCAGCCACTCCCAGAAGGGACAAAGTTTGGTCTGTGCTGATGATCATGCCATCACAACTCAAGCAGACAGCTTTGAAATGGTTAAACAGAAGTTCTCTGAAGCTTTAGGTGCTTTTACTGGCTATTACAGAGGAAACCAGCCAATTCCTAATCCATCTAAAATGCAGGTGTGTGTTTCTCACTTTAAGAACAGACAAGCATCTCAAAGTACCTGTGAGAGAATCCCATTGGAGCATTGTAGCACACCAAAATACCTGGAAGTTACCCTGGACCATGCTCTGACTTATAAGAAGCACTGCTTGACTATCAAGCAAAAAGAAGGTGCTAGAAATAACATCATACAAAAGCTGACTGGCACAGCCTGGGGATCACAACCAGATACAGTGAAGACATCTGCCCTTGTGCTACTCTGCTGCTGAATACACATGCCCATTGTGGAATACATCTCACCACATTAAACAGTGGATGTGGCTCTTAATGAGACATTCTACATTATCACAGGATGTCTACTCTCTACACCACTGAAGAAATTATACTGTTTAGCCGGTATTGCACCACTTGACATCCGCCGGGAAGTAGCAGCCAATAATGAAAGGATCAAGGCATTGGCATCTCCGTCTCATCCTCTACTTGAATATCAGCCAGCACGCTAATGTCTTAAATCAAGAAATAGCTTTCTAAGATCTACAGATATACTCACAGCAAGCAAGAGTCCAAAACTGGCAGGTTAAAACCTGGAACCTCAATCCATGGCTGATTCAGATGAGAGACTCACCCCTGGGCACATAGAAGACTGGGAGACTTGGATGGCACTGAACAGACTGCACTCTGGCACCATGAGATGCAGAGGCAGTCTTAAGAAATGGGGCTACAGAGTGGGTTCATGACATGCGAGTGTGGAGTGGAGCAAACCACAGACCACTTATTGTAATGCGGTATGAGCTCCACCACATGCACAATGGAGGGCCTTCTTACAGTGACACCAGAGGCACTCCAAGTGGCCAGCTTCTGGTCAAAGGACATTTTGTATAATGTCAAGTATTTAACTTTGTTTTTGTTTTTAAATACATTATAACTGTACCCTCAATTCACTTCTGATACAATAAATAAATAAATAAATATTTACTTTGTTTATTTTTTAATCTTTTATATAGCCCTTGACTATCAAGCAAAACATGGGTGCTAGAAATAACATCATACAATCGATTTTACTAAAAGATTTTGCCACATGTTTACAAATGTAAAAAAAAAACTTGGTGGATTCTGGGTCATAAGGTTGCCAGATCTTGGTGCCTGACCCTGAGCCTCAAGACATGGTCCTTCTTCTCCAGTTCTCCTGTTAAGAGAAGGGCTGAAATCTCAGGACAGTAATGCTTTGAAAAATATGCATTTGTCATCCTAATATGTTAGTCTATTTGATAGGCATACAATTAGGATTTCCGGAACTTGGGCTTGTTCTTGTTTCTCTATTTTTTTATGGTCATTTCCAATTAGGAGATGAGAATATAAATTCCCCAGTTTTGTTGAGCTAGAAAAATAGCTGCTTGCTACAGTTATTTCAGCAAACTTATGAAGATTGATTTCAAACTGTAGTATTTATCCGTCTAGTGTAATTCACATTACGGATGTTTACAGTTAAATTCTTGGTATGTTGACTCTGTTCTGTTGGCTGAGATGTTCTGGGAGCCTTTGTTGAAAGAAGCAAGTTTTCCTAAGTTCTGCTCAGGAGCAATGTTCTGAAGGAGACAATTGCCTTCTGAATAAATAATTGCATATTAGACTAGTCTGAGGCATAATAGTATAAACATGAGTACCAATGAAAATGTCACCTGAAAGAGCAAGAGGTATCTGGGCATGAGATGGGAGCTGACTTGGATATGTCCAAGACTGGCAGTACTATCAAGAGACCTTTCAAAAATACTCTATATGCAGTTCCACATTTCAGAGGGAGTCCAAGCTCTTCCCTAAAAATAAATGAGCTGTAAACTGTATTATAGTAGTTATAGTTTTCAATCCATTTGCAAAAATGTTCAAAGCCATCAGTGGCAGAATAAAAGGAGTAGAGGGGATGATTGGTGTAAAGAACAGATTGTTTGTGCAGTGTCTGGGCATCAAGATAGGAAATGCTATTCCTTGTGGAACAAAATGTACAATTGGGCAATATCTTTACTAGAAATAACCAAAATGACACAAAAAATGGGCAAGCTTTTGAGTTCCCCAGGTTAGGTGGTACCAAAAATGTAGAGGAAGGGAAAAGAAACCAAGAAGTCCAAAAATTGTCCACATGTCACAACCATGCACTCTGCAACTCAAACATTCCTGAGATGGACTTTCATTGAAGCTGGTCTTGGCACCAGACAATTATGCCACCAACATCTAGGGATCTGTGGACATACAAATCCCTCCTTGAGCCTGAGAATGACTGCCCAAAAGTTTACTGTGTATCCAGTAATAATTTTCCTTGATTCTATAATTTGCTGATAGACCTGTGCATTGTATGTTTTTACCCTGTTTCCTCTTCTGCTCCCTCACCCCTATTGTGCTTCAGTATTTGTATTTACATTTTAAATGTACTAAACGTACTAAGTTCGTATGAGACTGTGACTTTTATTTCCTGTGCTGGTCTATGACCGAAATAAATGATTTGATTTGACTGCCATTTTTTTGGTTAAGATAGAAACCTGGGATGGGGCATGAAGCAAAAGCAGGCAGCTCCATAGGATGATGACTCAGGGCAGCAGCACTCCTCCCAAACTTATGTTAATATATATGCATATGCCGCATTGAATTGTTGCCTTTGTAAGGTCGCCCTGAGCCCCCTTAAATAAACTCCAAATGCCAGATCTAATGAATGAAAACTGTTCAGACCAACAAAAGTACTCAGAAGTTCATCCTTTTGTTTCTGCAGAGGGCTCCAGTCTTGACAGCCAGGCTTGTATCCATATAGCTGTTCATGTGGTACATCTTTGGAGACAGCCATTGACTTTACTAGCAATAGTTTACGTGAGCACAGTAACACAGAAATGTAGCATTGTATTCATGCGATCTGTTAACGAAAATGAGGGATGTCCTCATCAGGTCCAATGTTACTGTGAAAAGACCTTGTTTTGCTTGAGCCAGCCTCTCTGTCTGGAGCAGAACTTGGGAAAATTACTTTTTAATTAAAATTCCCAGATCCCAGCATCAGATTGACTAAGGCTGGTCATGCTGGCAATGAGATTCAGAGAGTTATAGTCCAAAAAGTAATTCTCCCAAATTATGGCACAGAGAGGAACAGGGAAACTTCGGATCAGTTTTAGGGAATATTGGAGAGATTTGGGCAGTTTTTTTCCACTAGAACTTACTTGTGCCCAATCCTGGAAATTTTAGTTCTGCCGGTCTACAATAACTGAGTTGTAATAGTAATAATAATAATAATAATCATCATCATCATCATCATCTATATCCCGCCACCATCTCCCCAAAGGGACTCGGGCGGCTTACAGGGCACTTCAAGGTGCAGCATATAACATAAACAGTACATGAGAATAAAATAATATCACATAGAAATTATAAAAACAACCACTATCAACACGTATAATATAAAAAATAGCACAATTTTAAAAATGCAGAACATCTGTAGATAAAACTAGCTGCTATCAATTCACAACTAAAATGCCAGAGTGTCGACCTCATATGGACCCATTTCAGCCTATTCGAGGTCAAAAGCCTGTTTAAAAATCCTATAGCACTGGAGCTTTCTGACAAAAAGTCCTAAAGACCTCACCAAATTGTTTGTTCCAAGATTCTATAAGGTGAAGCCATGACAAAACTGAAGTGTATCCAGGTCCTAAAATTGTGTTTTTTGGATACACCTCACAGAAATGTTTGCTTTTTAAAAAGTTGCAGGCAGTTCTACATATTTTATGAACTCTGGCACTGGTAATAAATGTATCGTACTCTTAGATTCCAGAAGATGAGGGGAAGGTCCGACAAAATGTTTCAATTCACAACTTGATTACGTTAAACCATCCTCTGGTTTTGGAAGTGCAAACTGAATGTTTTTGCCATTCTGAATGTAGTAGTGCCTCCCCCCACTTCTTTTAAGTTTGAATTCAATGCTCCTATGACTTGTGGCACATTGGGGAAAGCCTGTACATGTATGAAACCTGGAACGCTGGGATGGGAATCAGGAGGCTTCTAGGACCCAGAAACAGAGACACTCTCCAAGCTTCAGGCTGCCTCTCACCCTTCACTGCAGTGGATCTGTGCATCAGATACTGTGGAGAAGAAGCAGCAGCAGAGAGAGGTACCCAGTATGCTAGAAGCCTGCACAGAGAAGGTATGGACTGATGCTCAGATGTAAAAGAGGATGGCTGATTCTGGTTAGGCACAAGCTGGCCGGACAGGGTATTCCTGGCATCTCGATGGGGCGTTTATCTACATAAATGTTTATGAATTGGAGAAAGGCACCAAGACAGTCCAATCCTCCAAAGAAGCTGTGATGGACAGAGAGAGGAGAATTGGGGGAATGAAATGATAGAGACTAAAGGACATAAATGTTTCATAATTTCAAGTCCACATAATTTGAGCCTTCACAATGAGTACATAAAATGGAGAGAGGGATTTGAACCTGAATTGTGAAGGGAAGATCCCTTTTTGCCGGTGAAGATTGGAAGTAATGTACTAGCAGCAGGGCAAAGGAATGAGCAAGACGAGTCCAGATTCACCTCTGCTTTCGAGATCCTCATGGTTTCTTTTTTGGCATAAGCTGAGGCCTACTGCTGGATCTCTCCAAGCACTGAACAGGTGGGTAGCACAAGGTGAGAATTCTGCACCAGGAGCCAGGTAGGTAGCAGAAATAGCACATCTTTGCCCAGCAGAGATGTGCTGCTGCTGCTGCTGCTCTGTAACTGGTTCTTCGTGCAGAATGTATATTTGGATGGGTAGGAAAGGAACAGCGGAAGAAACCCAAAGTTCAACATGTGAGAGTTTTTTTGTCTTACAATGTTGGAGGCAGCAGAGTGGGAGAAGATTAAATACACAACACCCATGTGAGTGGAGCAAGAATTTGGGAAGAGGGTGTGTGCCTCATGCATTTGAGTGGGTGTCTCTTCCAGTCAGATCAGATCCTGTTTACCTACCTGCACAATTGCTCCTGAGTCAAGGGAGTTGCTAGGAGAGAATATCGGAAACCCACAATATTTTAAACCAGTGCTTTACATTATTTTGTGCTGCGAAAGTGTGAATTATGGGGATGAGAGAAATATATTATGTTCAGTGATAAAATGGGGGAATACACATATTCTCTCTCAAGAGGCCATTTCATTTTTCCTTCTCAAACAATAGTGGAAAGGTAATAAGGAGAAAGCAACAGTTCTCATGGTTAGACATAAGGATGCATTGAGACAGCTAGTTTCTTTCTCCCCCTCCTCCTCCCTTTTGGGGCAAACGGGTACCAAACCTTCCATTCCTGACTGCTGTATAGACAGCAGGTGTTGTGATGGAAGTTGAGGATGAACAGGTTGGAAGCAGGGATGAAGTAACTCACTGAAGGCTAAGAATCCATTATATTTGGACTTCTGCAAGCAGCTGTTGTTGTGGAATGCCTCAGAGAAATACTGGACTAGATGAGTTGGAAAGTTCCCTCCCTATTCTATGCCACCACTAGGAATGCCTTGGCTTCAGCCATTGTGCCAACATAGTTGTGACACATAGACAGGGAGAACACAGTCATGTTTTATCCCTGTTATTTGGGGGCTGGACCAAAATTGCTCTGGTCATTTTTGAAAAATTGCAAACAGTTTTTTTTTAAAAAAAAAAAACCAAAAACTTTTTTCTCCCCAATTTGTGTTTCAAGTCTGTCTGTTGAACTGGTGTACATGGGGACTGTGTCCAGAATTGCAACAAGCTCCTTCTCAATTGCAAAATGGGTAGCCAACCTCGCTTTTCTTCTGTGTCACTCAAGAAGGTAAGTTGTGCTCTCATTGGATTCATAGTTACTGAAATAGGCCATGTGGAAAACCCCTGGGTTTGGGGAGAAACACCCCTGGGGCCAATGCAAGTAGGACCTCTATGGCCCCTTCCACACAGTTGAATAAAATCCCACATTTTCTGCTTTGAACTTAAATATGTAGCAGTGTGGACTCAATAACCCAGTTTAAAGCAGATATTGTGGGATTTTCTGCCTTGATATTCTGGGTTATATGGCTGTATGGAAGGGCCCTATGTAGCAGAAGTGAATCTAACTAAAGTGCTTTGTACCTCCTGAAACAGATACCACTGTTCTCATCGTTTTGTTGTACATCAGTGGTTCACAACTTTTGGCCCTCTGCTAAATTACAATTATAATGTGATATAGTTAAGCCTTCATTATTGTAAAAAGGAATTGAATACAGTTAACTGGTTGTAACTATTGATTCGCTAGTTACCTCAAAGCACTGCTGAGAGATTTCTTACTTACATGGTAGATAATTCTGCTACATGGGTGGATAATGTTTCTGATGTCCCATCCTGTGCTGGAAGGCATGTGCTAGAAAATTTATTTATTTATTTATTTACTTTACTTCTATACCGCTGTTCTCAGCCCGGAGGCAACTCACGGCGGTTCACAAAACACAGGACATAGCAAAATTCAACACCAATATAAAGCAGTTAATAACCTAATCTACACCATTAATACACAATTACTATAATAACCATTCACAAGGTCTCATCGCTAAAAACATGATCCAGATTCGTCGTCCATTGTTCCATTCCTATGTCATTACCAGTCATTGCACAATTATTCGAACGCCTGCTGAAATAACCAGGTCTTTACCTTCTTGCGGAATGCCATTAGAGATGGTGCTAACCTAATATCTGTGGGAAGGGTGTTCCACAGCCGGGGAAAAGTTACATTAACAAAAGTTCTACATGCTTTCAGGAGAGCTGGGACCAAAGATACTGGAGGAGAGCTGGGTCCAAAGATACATTATGTGACTCTTTACATGCTAGAATTGTGTAGCTTATGATCTAAAGTTTATTTTAGTTCTGTCTATAATGGACCCATTCAATCTATTGGATTTATCTGATGTTGATTCATCATTCAACTGAATGAATCTCCTCTAGTTGGGATAATGAATAGGATAATAGTGCTTGAATCAAATAATGCCTTTTTAAATGACATGCGTGAGCTGTGTTACTGCTAACAATTTACATCACAGGCTCTTTCCAATAGATCACAATTGGGGAATGTGTGGTGTTCCAGATATTATTGGACTGTAGATATAGATGGACCCCCTGGTGGTGCAGCAGGTTAAACCACTGTGTTGCTCAACTTGCTGACAGAAAGGTTGGCGGTTCAAATTCGGCAAGCAGGGTGAGCTCCCGCTGTTAGCCCCAGCTTCTGCCAACCTAGCAGTTCGAAAATATGCAAATGTGAGTAGATCAATAGGTACCGCTTCTCCAGGAAGGTAACAGTGCTCCATGTAGTCATGCTGGCCACATGACCTTGGAGGTGTCTACAGACAACGGGCTCTTTGGGTTAGAAATGGAGATGTGCATCACCTTCCAGAGTTGGACACGACTAGACTTAATGTCAGGGGAAACCTCTACCCTTTAGATGTCATCAGATTCAGCCAGTATAGCCAGTGATCAAGAATGTTGAGGACTTCAGCTCATGAACATATGTAGAGTCACATATTTCTTGTATCTCACCTGCTGGCTAGATTGTTGCACTTCGAATGTTAATCTATTAATAAAGAAGTACGGACTAGAGAGTGATACTTCTGTCTTCTAGTTTTCTTCTTTAAAACTGCATGCGTATAGCTTAAAGAAATAATGGGATGAAACAATGTCCTTATTACTTCTGCTTTGAGCTTATTTGCAGTCTCTGAACTAGAATCCTTTGAGATGGAGTCATTTCACTACTCCAATCCTCAGTCTACTCTGATCTCTAAAGGCAAATATGTTTCTTGATATGGTATTCCAGAACCTAGAAGGAGATAGAAACTCCTAGAATGTGATTGAGAGGATAAATTCAGAGATGGGTGGTGGCAGCCTCCTTGTTTGGAGGCTTTTAAACAGAGGCTTGATAACCATCTGGCAGGAGTGCTGATTGTATATCCCTGCATGGCAGGGGGTTGGACAGGATGGCTCTTGAGGTCTCCTTTAACTCTATGATACTATGATAAAGCTCACCAAAGTTATTTTGTAAGGTTATATTCCTAGCCCTTCCAGTCATCATGGCCTTCACAGCTGGGGAATTTTGGGGGGTGTAGTTCAATGCAGTAACTTTCCCAAGCTCTGGTAAATGAGTGAACTTAACAGGACTGTCTTTAGGAAATGTTTAAGAACTTTGGCCAACAGGTGGACTAACCTATCAATATGTTTAATTGTAGGTGCTAACATTAGCCTGGGAAGAATCATGCCCTGCACCTTGAGTGAGGAAGGCTTCCTTCTTCTCATACCACGACGGGTCCAATCACTTTTTGACATCACCATGCCATTCAATTCAATGACGGACCATCAGAACGAGTTGAAAATTGACACATTTAGTTAAATATGATACATAATGGCTTCTAGAACTGAGTGGCACTCTCAGAGGCTCTAATGCCAGCACAGAAGATGACCAGAATATCATCTCAGGGTTCAGGGTTGCTCCTTCTCTGCTACAACTACTGATTCTCTGTGATTACTCTCTGGTAACCCAGAATAGGATGGGTGATGGACTTGTGACGGGAGGTGCTAGTCTCCATGGAGCCTCCATTTCCTGCCCAGTGGATGCAGAGTTCTGTCAGGGTAAGACGGTTACTCCAGACATCCCAGAGTTCTGTGCTTCTCAATTCCAGCCTTGGTACCAAGACCAGAGATGTGGCTTCAGAATCTGTGGGCCTTTTCTTCATGCTTTTGATTGACTTGTCAGCCATAGTAGGCAATGTTGCAATTATGACAGTCATTCTCAAGACCCCATCTCTGAGAAAGTTCATCTTTGTGTTCCACCTCTGCCTGGTGGACCTCCTGGCTGCTGTCACCCTGATGCCTCTGGCAATACTGTCCAGCTCAGCCTTCTTTGATGGCACAGTGATGGGGGATGCCATATGCCACATCTACCTGTTCTTAAGTGTGTGCTTCATTACCACGTGCATACTCTCAATCTCAGCCATTAATGTAGAACGGTATTACTATGTGGTTCACCCCATGCGCTATGAGGTGAAAATGACCACGGGCCTGGCGGTTTGTGTTCTAGTTGGCATCTGGATTAAAGCAGTAGTCATGTCATTCCTCCCCACCCTGGGATGGCTTTCCCAGGGCCATGTCAGCAATTCCTCCATCTACAATGGACGAACCTGCACCTTGCAGTGGAGTCAGAGCGCCTATTGCAAAATTTTTGTGATCTTCTTTGCTATTTTCTACTTCCTCCTGCCTATCTCCATTATTTTGGTTGTCTATTGCAGTATGTTCAAAGTGGCCAGGGTAGCTGCCATGCACCATGGCCCACTCCCCAATTGGATGGATACCCCGCGGCAGAGATCAGAATCCCTCAGCAGCAGATCCACTATGGTGACTAGCTCAGGGGCCCCTCGGACTACCCCTCAGAGGACGTTTGGGGGTGGGAAAGCAGTCATCATCCTCCTGGCTGTGGGAGGACAATTCCTCTTTTGCTGGCTGCCGTATTTCTCCTTTCACCTCTACTCTGTGTTGGCCTCCCATGTTCCTGGCCAGCAGACAGAGAACGTGGTGACTTGGATTGGCTACTTTTCCTTCACCTCCAATCCTTTCTTCTACGGGTGCCTCAACCGACAGATACGAGGAGAACTCAGCAAGCACCTCACTTGTTTCTTCAAGCAGCCCCCTGAAGAGGACCTCAGGTTACCAAGCAGAGATGGCTCCATAGAAGAGAACTTCTTGCAGTTCCTGCAAGGGACTGGTTGTAGTGCTGAAACCAGGAACAATCTCTCCTTACCAAGTCCCCAAAGGGACCAAACAACCATAGATTTCCGAATTCCCGGGCAAATTGCAGAAGAAACTTCTGAGTTCCTGGACCAGCACATGAATAATGAGATCATTGTCTCAGATAGCTACATCAGGGCAGCATGCACACCTAAGCCAGAACTGTAGCTGTTTTTGCACTTGACAATCTAGTTTACTGATGTGTGAAATAATGCAGAATATAGCAGCTAATGAAGTGGGAAGGGGAGGGGTGTGGTGTGGTGTGGTGGGGAGAGTGTTCAATAAATACAACCGTGACAATTGGAACTTTATCTCTCCAGCTCACTACTCAGCCAAGAAACAGCTGCTACTAGTATCTGAGTCATCTCATTCAATTTCGGCTAATGTGGGATGGTAATTGTTTACTCTCCCCTTCTCCTATCAGCCTTCGTTTTTAAAGTCTGGAATTACAAACAGCTTCATGTTGTCAAAATGCCTGCATTTTCCATCCACCTCTTGCTAGTTTCCTAATTTTTATTGGCATTCACTGTAATTTTTAACCCTCTGCTTTGAACTTTTTTTTCTTGAGAAGGTAATCCTGTTACAGAACAAAAACACACACACACACAAACACAAAACAGCAAGGTTCCCTCTTTCCATCTGCCTTCTATTTATGGCTACCAGTTTATCTATATATAAAAGCCCCCATTCTTTTTGGAGTTAGATATTGCTGAACCACAAGAGAATGCAGGGGTTGAGGGAAGTTGTTTCGGTGGCAGAAAACTTGGGGTGTAGGAACAATGTTTAAAAAGGCAGAGGCAGATTTTGTCCCCACAGCTACACAATATTTTTATTACATATTTTATTGTAATATACACAATATTTTAATTACATATTCAATTCTTTGAACAGCCTGTGGGTTCTGCATGAGTTCTGGCCTAGAAACTTTGCTAGTTTGGGTCTCTGCAGGAGACTGAGTAGTGATGATGAAGCAATGAATTGTCATGCATGGAATTCATAAGGATCCAGTGCCTGCTGTCATCAGGGTCTCCCTTTCATGCCTTTTTGAGACCTTTAAGGCCCCTTCCACACAGCTGTATAAAATCCACATTGAACTGGATTATGCAATAATAAATAATACAATTTTAATTGTACCCCACCACCATCTCCCCGGAGGGACTCGGGACGGCTCACAATAGCACATTAGAAGTGCCAAGCATAGAACAAACAATAAGTAAAGGCAAAGGTTTTCACCTGACATGAAGTCCAATGAAGTCCAAACAATACATAAGCCTAAAAAACCCCAACATAAATCCATAAAGGATAAACACACATAAACCTCATATAGTAAAAACTTAAAGTTCATAAAATGCAGTGGAGCCCTCACGTAAGACTAGCTGTCTTCCATTAACGGCCCAAAGTGCTGGAGGGAGCAGTTACTAAATCCTCAAATCAAGCCATAAATTACACACTGTATGGCAGTGTGGACTCACAGAACCCAGTTCAAAGGAGATATTGTGGAATATATATATAGATATAGATATTCTGTGTTTTTGGCTGTGTGGAAGGGACCTATGAAGGTTCATCACACTGGAGCTAGGTTACTTACTTACTTACTTAGGCGATCCCTCATAGTCCGAGGATGATGGTCCTCCAAGTTCAGTGTCCTGCCTGTGGAGGTGACTGTGTCTGTGGAGCCCTACTCTTGATCTGCATCTTCTTCCGCAGTGAGGGCATTCGTTTCCAGGTGGAAGGTGGTCCCGGTCAGGGTTGGCTTGAAACACCTTCCTCTTGGAACGTTTCTCTCTTTCACCCTCCATTCATGCCTCTTCAAATTCTGCAGCACTGCTGATCACAGCTGACCTCCAGCTGGAGCGCTTTGGGCTTTTGGATACAAGTATGGAGCCTTGGAGTCTTTGCACATGTTGGCCAGACCTCAGACCCCAGAAGCTCTAAAAAACAGGGCCAATAATGGATTATGGGAACTGCGATCCAAAATATCTAGAGGACCAATTGACTAGCCACTCTTGCTGGCTTAGGGCCCTTCCACACAGCCTTATATTCCATAATATCAAGACAGAAAATCCCACATTATTTGAATGTGGATTCAGGTAATCCAGTTCAAAGCAGATATTGTGAGATTTTCTGCCTTAATATTCTGGGATAGGGCTGGGCGATGTCGTTCGTTAATTTTGTATATCATTAAGTTTTTCATTAATATTCAATATACGAAACGATATCAAAATTATTTTCAAACACGGAAGTGTATTTTAA